TTATTATTATTATTATTATTATTATTATTATTATTATTATTATTATTTATATAAAATACAAAGAAGAAAGGAGGGAAGGGGAACAGGAAAAGGGGGTGTGAGATTCAAGGGGAAAGAGTAAAAAAAAAGAAAAGGGAGCATTGACTTCCAACTCTTCCAAGCACAGTACAAAATAAATACACTCCAACATCCATATTTTGCTTTCACATGTTCATATATAACCAGCAATATCTATAACACCAAATCTTTCTAATCAACAAAACCAAGATCACAGTTTCATTTTCCCCTCTTTCAGTAAGACCAAAGGATTTGAAAGAATACAATAAATTTTACAAATAAAAATGGTGACAGCTCACAAAGATCACTAGGTGCAAATAGAAAGACATGTTATTTCCATAGCGAGGAAGATAAAGTAGGAACGGTTAACTTGATTATTCTATTTAAAGAAGAAAATATGTTCCTATCTGGATATCACATCTGGAATTTGTGCTTGTGAAGAATAGCACTTAGACTTATATACCACTTCGTGGTGCTCTATGGCTGTCTCTAGTGCTCTACAGCCCAACAATCTAGGTCCTCATTTTACTGACCGTGGAAAGATGGAAGGCTGAGTCAATCTTGAGCCAGTCAGGATCGAACTCCTGGCAATGGGCAGAGTCATCCTGCAATACTGCGTTCTAACCACTGTGCCACGATGAAATATTGAATAGAAGCAATATTACTACTACATTTGTGCAATATAGCACCAAAGCACTTCTGGGTCGGAAGGAAGGATTAGCCAGTGACACCATTGTTGCCCAGGGGAGCCCAACTGGGCGCTCCTTTCGTCTCCCTCTTAAGTTGCTTTCTGAAGTGGTACCCATATATCTACTTGCAGTCACCCACTTTTGATTTGCTGGGTTGGCAGGAGCTGGTGTGAGCGACCGTTATAAATATGAGCCAACTGACAAGCATCTGAATTTTGATCACTTGACCATGGGGATGCTGCAGAGGTCGTAAGTGTGAAAATGGTCATAAATCGCTTTTTACAGTGCCGTTGTAACTCCGAAATTTCACTAAGTGAACTGTTGTAAGTCGAGGACTACCTGTAATGATTCCGAGATATTTTTAAAGGATCCGTGAAACGAAAGACTTACTTTCACGTCTAAAGTGTGCTGAAGTTTGTAGCGCATGACTTCTTGTTCCTGCCGCTGAATGATGCACTGGCACTCAGCAAACTGTAGAGACGCCTGGGTAAAATCGGGAGTGAGTTATTTACTATTTGGAACATGATTTACACCCAGTATTATCAGTCGCTTTTAAGACATGCAAGCGGGTTTCCAGTTATCTTGAACAGTTTTTGAGCAAACAAGAAACTCTATTTGGGAATTCAGCCATCTCTTCTATGGTTCCCACTTCTCTCAAGGAAAAGACAAATTCAATCCCATTTATTTAAGCATGCCAATTCCACAACATCAGTAATGGTTTGTTTTAATATTAGAATATGGTGCACTACTGAAGATTTTTCAACTTCACTTTATGGTCTGTTTGCCGCATCCAACCATCCCAACTAGACCACATAAGAATCACCAAATCGTTAGTGAAGAACTCCAACACCAAACTTCACATGTACAACAATGTTTCTCAACCGTGGCCCCTTGAAGACATGCAGACTTCAATTCCCAGAATTGCTGGCTGGGGAAGCAATGCTGGCTGGGGAACTCTGGGAGTTGAAGTCCACACATCTTCAAAGGGCCAAGGTTGAGGAACAGTAATCTACGATGTTAATTGATGCTATTAAAATCCTGAGGCCACCCTCCAGGAAGGTGAAGGAGATGTAGAAGATTCAACATCATGTTCGGAAAAGTGTTTAGCTTGGCAAAAAGCAAGAACTGAAGGATCAGAGTCTGTTGAGAAGCTCAGGGCTTCTCATCTCTAAGTCCTTCCAGAGAGAAGGAAACCGTATTCAACTCCATATTAGAGTCCTAGTAACAAAGTTTTGGGGCAGCAGGAATATATATACAGTAGAACCTCTGGTCACGACCATGGTTCATTCCATAACTTTAGTTGCAACCTGATTTGGTTGTGACACAAACCTACTGTTGGAAATTTGGTGCTCACAAAAAAAAAAAAAAGGTGTGAAAGGGGAAATTGGCTGTGAAAAAAAAAATGTGAATTTTTTGGTTGGAACCCGATTTGGTCATGGTCAGAAGCATTCATGATGAGAGGTTCTACTATGTATTTGTCCATACACATTTGTCAGTGCTCATCTGTATATAAAAACACCAACAAATGTATTTATTTCTGTCAATCTCAAGAGACGTCTGAGGCAAGATGAGGTCCCAAAATTCAAGATGGCAGCCATGACTCCATGATCAAAGTCCCGCCTTCGACACGTTAAAAAGGAACGGGACTTTGATCATTCAGTCGGGCCCTCCATCTTGACTGTTTTTTATTTCATCCGCAGTTCTTCTATGGGACACTCTCTGGTTTTAAATACTGTGCGCTAATCCTGACTTTTTTTAGTCTTGAAATTTTGGACCTGGACAACCTAGAACTACTAATAATTTGTATAATAATGATGACACAGTACTGTTAAAGTTAAGATTACTATGTGTAAATGGTAGAAAAGAACAATAAAAATTATTATAAATAAAATAAAATAAAATCATCTTTATTTTTATTTAGAAATAACTTTTTTCATATAACTCCATATGGTCACTAAATGAATGGGTGTAAGTCGAAAACTATGCATAGATGGGTTAAAGAAACTTACTTTATCTAGAGCAGCTTCCATCGTCACCAGTTTGTCTTTCAAACGCTTATCCTGGGACTTTAGGATTTCCAACTCTCCAGCCAATTTGTTGTTTAAAGCAGCCATGCAGCCCAGCTCTTGACTTAATCGGTTCCTCTCTTCTTTCAAGTAATGCTTTTCCTGTTATAGGCAAGATAGGGGGGAAAAAACACTGCATAACCAGCTTGCAAAATCTTGAACAAGGAACAGATAAAAATATGCCCATTCAGCCTACTGCACAAGGCAGTTGTGAAACAGCTTCTCAGTGAAAGTTGTAAGGATAAGCGGTAAAAATATTTGTGCATGGGCACGCAACTTTCTCCTCAACTGATGTGGTTCAAAAACTTTAATTAATGTTTGTGATTCACCTTACTGAAACGTTACACTGAATCTTAAACTACAGCTTAATTATGGTTAGTGAAAATTAATCCATTCCATCGGTAGAAAATTAATCCACTCCAATGAAATTGATTTGTTTTCTACTAAATGTGAGTAAAATTAATTTTTTCACTTATTTTGCCAACCCAGATGGTAATCTCTTAGTCAGATTAACCATCATAAATTGACAAGGCAAATCAGTGTTTCACAACCTTGAGAATTTTAAGGGGTCTGGATTTCAACTCCCAGAATTCCCATGGCTGGCTAGGAAATTCTGGGAATTGAAGTTCAAACACCTTAAAAGTGGCCAAGGTGGAGAAACACTAGGATAAATTAAGGTGTGCTTAATTTAAAATGGAGGAAAACTCTCTGTAACGCTTTGCTTAGCCCTATCTCATCTCTGGCTCATTCATTTTGGAAATATTTATTCAATTTTAGAAGAAATAACTTCGCAGTTATAGTTCAGGTCAGGGTTCTCAACCTGCTGTCTACTCTATATGTGGGGGGGTATATTATCACAAGGGGCCCACAAAGACTTGAAGAATTTTCCCCCCATCATTTAATGACCCCATAATCCTTTGCAGGGTGGAGTCTGGGCACCTGAATGGAGCTGAGTGTTTACAGGTCAGATGCCCTTCCTGTCACCAATGCAGAGTTTTGCAGCAGATATATGCTCCTTGTGCCAGGAGAGAGAAATATCTGCCTCTACCTAGGACTGAGCTCACAGTCTCTTGATTGTGAGGCGAGAGCTCCCTCTCTAGCCCACAGCACCACTCAAAGACTTGTAGAAATGTTATGCTTTAAATCTTGAGTTAAGTCTTGCGGGGTCCATGGCCGTAGTCCATGGCCACAAAAGGTATTTCATTGGGGTCAACGGGGAAGAAAACGTTGAGAATCACTCGTTAAGCTCTTTGGAGAAAAGCTATATGTATAGAGGCTGTGGTAAAGGCTTGTGGCAATTTACTAGCGCTTCATATGTTTCATTCTTTCAATCATATTGTAGGCAGATTTGAACCCATAATAATCTTTCAACGTTTGGCCTGAGGACTGTACTAGGCTACATTTATCACAGTTCAATCATTCAGCAATTATTGGACCTTAGTTGCGTTCGTCATTGCTTCCTCCAAGAACTTAATCTTGCTCTGCAAAGCATCGATCTGCCCTCGCTTGGCCGTAATCTGCTTCTGCATTCCCATCGCAACTTTCATGGCTGTCAAAGAGAAGATGTCCAAGGCGTGAGTGGAAATTTGAACATTCTTGGCACAAGATTTTTTTTTTTTTTTCCCACGAATGAAGGCGAATGTAGTACGCGTCCCGGGATAACGTTGCAGGATCCAATCTGGGTCGGTCACTGGGAAGATACGTTTCGTCTTCTGAGCTTTCAAATTTTTGCTGGAGTCCATCCTCAGAGATCTTCTCTGTAGCAATCTAAGTGCTTTGGGCCATTCTGTGTGTGATATGTATATGGCGACTGTTGTGTGTGGCATTTTAGATGTTGATTGGGCTATTAAGTTGCTGGCTGTCATACCGTCAAGCCCTCTCCTTTTAAGTATTGGATACGCTGATGGTAAATCAGCACTCCTGTTGATCCATGGCCACAAGGACAAATTATGCATGGTAAAGATTGCTTGGAGATGGGAGGTACTTCCAATGTGATCCACTGGATCCCCTGCACAGATTGCCCTTGTGACTATGTAAAACAGACAGGGAGGAAGCAAGCTAACCACCAGATTGCAAGAACACAAGCGAGCGGTCAGACGAACTCATTGGTAGCCTCACACTGCAATGAACAAGACCATACATTCAATGTTCCAGCTACTAAGATTGTCGGACGAACAGGGACAAAAACAGCCAGGGAAGTGATTGAAGCCTAGGAAACGGGCCCCTCATCGGTCAACCGGAGTGCAGATTTACCAGCAGCTTATCAAGTACTCAGGAGGGGTGGGCTTGGCAGTACAAGGAAACTACAGCCAATGACTTAATAGCCAGCCATCGACACCCTAATCAATATCTAAAAAGCCACACAACAGCAGGTATCATATACATGCCTCGCACAGAATAGCTCAAAGCACATACACTGCTAGGGAGAAGTTCCCTGAGTCCAAAAGCTCAGAAGACAAAACCTCTGGTTCCAGTAACCAACCCAGATTAGATCCTGGAACAATTTTTTCAGCACAGAAATAGCCTCATACAATTCGAGACAATTATTTTTTTTCTGATGAGGGGAACAGGTCTGTAGTTTTAACCTAGACATAATTCTACATCAATTTTGAATTTATAAACCTACCATAACTTGAAGGAACCTTCACTCTTTTTAAAATCAATGAGTACCATACACTCCAGCAGAGAATGACAATGCCTTTTACGGTATTCTCTACCCAGAATAAAGATAAATTACATTGCAAGTGTCCATTTATTATATATCAACTTATAACCCTTTCGTGAGGTTTGTGTCCATTTATTATATACCAACTTATAACCCTTTCGTGAGGTTTGTCTGTGGTGACTCTTCCCCAAGGAATGCTGGGAATTGTGGTTGAGTGAGAATACCAAGAAGTCTTTGCTACATATCTCTGTCTACCCAAACAACCACAATTCCTGCTTTTATTGGAGAAAAGGAAAGACACCAATTTCAAGTCTCTAATGACCATTATTAACTAATGCTCATTGACTACAGGTAATTCTCAACTTATGATCAGACCACTTCTGATCCTTACGATTTATATTGACTGTTTCCTAGTATGATTTGATTGCTTATTGTACCCTGTGACTATCATTAAGTGTCGTACCTTATGATTTTCGACTCTTGACGATGTATCTTTTCTTGTATGTATACTGAGAGTATTTGCACCAAGACAAATTCCTTGTGTGTCCAATCACACTTGGCCAATAAAGAATCCTATCCTATCCTATCCTATCCTATCCTATCCTATCCTATCCTATCTGATCCTATTCTATTCCATTCTATTTTGTGAATCAAATCATTCTTATAATCTCAGATGAAATGCTCTGATCAGGTTTGATGGTGTTCATGTGAAAAATCGATTAAAATTAACAGGTTTAACCATTCTACCCCATGCAAAAGAAGGAAAGTAATTGTCTGAAAGGTGTTTTTTAAAAAAAAAAATTCAAAAGGCAACTGGACTTTCTTTGTTTTTTCTGGAAGACATTTCCCTTCTTGTCCAAGAAGCTTCTTTGGTTCCGACTAAATGGTGGGGAATGGAAGGATTTATATTCCTTGCAGTCATCTGGTCATTAGCGCTTCCTCTGAGAGCCGTTGAGGCCACTTGGAGGTTTATCTGCACCCTCAGGGTCCCCTGAATCCTGTAGTCTGCAATTTTTTTTTTTCCTGGACATCCCAAAGTGCATAGCTAAATGTCTCTAGAGAAAGAAAGCACCTTTGGAACAATCATGACCTGAGAATCCCAAAGGTGCTTTTTCAAGTAGCAACTGGACTTTCTGTTTTTTTTTTCCTTTGAAGATGTTTTGCTTCTCATCCAAGAAGCTTCTTCAGCTTCTTGGATGAGAAGATGTCAACTCGTAAAGCCTTCCTATGCTTGTTTTTGAGTTGTCGTAAGCAGGAGGGGGGGGAAGCCCGAAGGAGCATTAGGGAATTAAAACTAGAAGTACATTCCACACTTATCTTACAAAGTTTGCAGCTAGGCTACCTGATCTTCTGCCTGCATAAATCCATCATTGGAGAATTTAATTGATGACAACCAGCCTGTGAACTGTTTTGTTAGAGAATCTAATTTATGACGCACCCGGGGGGAGGGGAGAAACAGGATCACAGGTGACCCATAAATCACATGTGTCAGAGTTGGCTTCATACAGGTTAATGCTGATATGTTGCTCCTAATAAATCTTTTGGATTCTTTTGAAGCTTGGCTCGAGGCTCATGATTTAATTAGGGCAATCGCTGGAACACTGACAGAAGAAGCTTCTTGGATGAGGAGGGAAACATCTTCAAAGGAAAAAAACAAAGATAGTCCAGTTGTCTCTTGAAAAAAACACCATTGGGAGAACCATGACCTGGTTCCAATCTCCAGACACATGATGACCTGAGAATCTCCTCCGCAGACAAGAAAAAATAATTCTATACAACGAAAGTCGCACCATTACCATGGCCATCCGAGCCCTCCATGGTCTTCAAAGTGGCCCTGGTTTGCTCCAATTCAATCTGAGCAGATTTCAGCTGCATTTTCAGTTTGCTCACAATGGCTTCCATCTCTTCATTCTTCTCTCGGTAGTCGTTCTTGATGATTTCTGCTTCCTCTGCAGCGAAAGAGAAACAAATCGAATCCAAGTCACGCTGGGCTTGTGTTAGGCTGTAACCGTGGTGGAATAAAACCCAACTCGCCCGCTTGCTTGATAATGCAAAAACACAATTCACATTCGTGTGACAACGTTGTGATGCGTGCAATGTCACTTGCCCCGGGGAGGATGCCCACACATGGGTGAAAGTGGGGAGGTTTCATTTTAAGATGGTCAGACACTGAAAGGAGTAAGAGAAACCTACTTGAGCCATCTAACCAGATAACAGGTGGGAAAACCAAAATTGGGGGGAAATCCAGCGCTGAGAATTTAATCAGGAATGTAAGGTTTCCTTCTTAGGTAGGCGCATTCACAAAAAATAAGCAGAGAGGGAAGAAGTCTTCATTTTGTCTTCTGAGGTTGGTGTATGTTTTTTTTTCTTTGAAGTTGATTGAAGCAAGATAGTAACAGAATAAACAGAGTTGCTGGCAGAGGCACCATGGACTGCTAAGGCAATCCTAAAAGCTAATGCACCCCTAAGTTGTATTAACAGAGGGATACAATCGAGATCAAGTGAGGTAACTAATACCACCCTACAAAGCCTTAGTAAGACCACACCTAGAATACTGCATCCAGTTTTGGTCACCACACTATGAAAAAGATGTTGAGACTCTAGAAAAAAAAAGTGCAGAGAAGAGCAACCAGGATGATTTGGCGACTGGAGACTAAAACATATGAAGAATGGTTCCAGGAACTGGGCCTGGCTAGTCTAGTGAAGAGAAGGACCAGGGGAGACATGACAGCCGTCTTCCAATATTTGAGGGGCTGCCACAGAGAGGAGGAAGGGGGTCAAGCTATTTTCTAAAGCACCTGTAGGCCAGACAAGGAATAATGCATGGAAACTGAATAAGGAGAGATTCAACCTGGAAATAAGGAGGAATTTTCTGACAGTGAGAATAATCAACCAATGGAACAGAAGTTGCCTTCTGGAAGTTGTGGGAGCACCATCACTTGAGACTTTCAAGAAAGACTGGACTCCCATCTGTCAGAAATGGTGTAGGGTCTCCTGCTTGGGCAGCGGGTTGGACTAGATGACCTACAAGCTCCCTTCCAACTCTGATTATCAGTTATCTGTTATCTGACTGGTCCTTTGCCAGTTGTGCAGGCTGGATCTAAGCATCCCCCAGGCCAGATTCAGCCGGTGGGCCTTGAGTTTAACACCCCTGATCTAGTGAATTGGGGAAGCAAACATTTGAAGCAGTGAAGCTAATAGCAGGATTGTTCTGTTTTATTTCATGCACCGAGACTGGGTAAAGGTGGGTTTGAGCACATGGGTATATGTGTTTGAGATCCCGGCCAATCCCCTGGTTTAACCGTGACTTTGCTTTCACTTTTTACCTTTCAACTATCTTCTCCAGCTCTGTCCTTGTTATATATAATAAGGATTTAACTTCTTAATGGAGCTCACGGGGCTTATTCTAGTAAAGGAAAGCCTTTCGCATAGGTCAGACGGCTGAAGGGAAACGGTTTGCTTCTTGCGTGAACTGACTGATGGCCCTTCCCCTAACTGGTGATCTCCAGGAAGTGCAAGAAGGGTACAGCAGGGTTATGAGCGAAGGATTTGCAGATCTTTCTTGGAATCCCAAGTCAATTACTTAGGAGATGTCAATCAAAGCGAGGAAAGAGCGGACAGGAAAAAGGACATTTGAACTGATAAAGAGTTTCATAAAAGAGGCAGGTCTGAGAAGAGAGAGGGAGAGAAGAGAGGAGAGAGAGATCTCATATCAACAATTTGGTGTTTGATAAAATCAGAATTCCACACCCTGGTAATAGCACAATTTGATAGGAATAATAATAGTGCTTAGACTTACTGTATATACCACTCCATAGTGCTTTTACAGCACTCTCTGAGCGGCTTACAATGTCAGCATTTTGCTCCCAACAATCTGGGTTCTCATTTTATCCATCTCGGAAGGATGGACGGCTAAGTCAAGCTCCGGATTAAACTCCGGACTGTGGGCAGAGTTAGCCTGCAATGCCACCTTCTAAACACTCTGCCAATTGGATGTCTCCCCTAAATCGGAATTCCACAATTTGGACATCTTTCTGGGTTCCCCTTCACGTTTGGGAAACGTAAACCCTGCAATCCCAAGTACCCCCTAGGGAGATGTTTCTCAACCCTGGTGTGGACTTCGACTCCCAGAATTCCCGCAGCCGGCTCAAGGATTTGGGGAGTCGAAGTCCGCACATCTTAAAGCTTGCCAAGGTTGAAAAACCCGTGTCTCGGGGATCGGAGAATAAAGACTCCAAGAAAGAGCGATGAAATTGACAAACACCTGCGAGGGCGCTGAGCTCAATGCGGCTGGCTTTGATTTCATTCACAAGTTCTTCTCGCTCCAGTTTCATCTCTTTGAGGATCCGCAGCCTTTCCGAGCACACGTTCATCAGTTTCACCTTTTCTAATTCCATGTCGCTCAGGCTGGCCTCCAGTTCGCGAATCTGGCTGTCCTTCTTCTCTTGCAAATTCTAGGTTGGGGGAGGAAAAAAACACACACACACAAAAGAAAGGTCCTGTTAGGCTGATTTATAGACACTTGGAAACATGGAGACTGATTGGAAAAATGGCTTAATGAGGAAGTGGAACCACGTGGGTTTGTGGTCCTGGGCAGCTGACCAGGTGGAGTTGAGAGTGGGGAGTAGTTATACTTTCTCTTGGGCTTTGCACTTGAGCTTCCTGTTCCTGAGCAAGGACATGCATTCTATTGGCTGTTGTAGAGGGTCATAGCTGGCTCTGTAGGTTGTCTGAGCTCTCAGGTTTGGTAGAAGTTTGGACGCTGATGCAATGCCCTTCAAACTTGGCAAGTTTAAGACTTGTGGACTTCAACTCCCAGAATTCCTAAACTAACATGACTGAAGGAGGAATTGTGGGAGTTGAAGTCCACAAGTCTTAAAGTGGTCAAGTTTGAAGACCCCTGCCTGAGGAGGCTGTACAATGTAGTGAGCTCTGTGGCCCGTGGGTTAATCCTATTATGTCCTGGAGGGTCATGTCTTAATCCCATCATCCAGGAGCTGAAGGTCTTTTGTTTTTCTAAACAGGATGGCCCAGTCTTTCTTAATGGGCAAAAAAATATCTGCTGGGGGCTATTAAGAAAGGTGGGGGCTGTCTTTTTCTGTCTCCAAGAGCATATTTCTCCATTCCTCCTTTAGGGAAATACAATTATTCTGCCTTTTAAATATTTCTCAAAATATTTCATTCTCCTAAGAGAAGGGTATCTTCCCTCATTATGCACGGCCATCATCTCAAGTAATGGTCATCACGTGGGTAGAGTTAGATAAGGGACAGTGGCTCTCAAGAGGGGGGTGGACTTAGTTTGCTTGTGACTATGTAGGGATTCTAGGCTGAACCCTCATTTCACTCTACCTCCAGATTCTGCCGTTCCTTCTCCCACATCTCTGTTTTCGTCCTGAACAATCTCAATGTGGCTGTTTTCAAGAATGGGAATGGTGAAAGGCTTACTGCTTTAGTGCAGTGCAATGACTGCATGGCATCTGTCAAAAGACAGAGCAATCAGCCAAGGAGAAGGGGATGGAGTTAGTGTTTCCAGGACCAAGTGATACCCTCTGGTCAGTAGAGGGATTCAAATTTTTTTTTTTACTACCAGTTCTGTGGGCATGGCGTGGCTTGGTGGGCATGGCAGGGGAAGGATACGCCATTCCCACCCCACTCCAGAGGAAGGATACTGCAAAATCTCCATTCCCTCCCCACTCCTGGGGAATGGTTCCTGCAAAATCCCATCCTCTCCCCACCTCACTAACCTGCTTTCCAGTTCTGTTCTCCTGTGCAGGGCAATAAAAGAAGACCCAGCTGATCAGCTGGGACTCGGGAGGCAGAGAATAGATGGGGGTGGGGCCAGTCAGAGGCGGTATTTGCTGGTTCTCTTACTCAAAATTTCTGCTACCGGTTCTCCAGAACTGGTCAGAACCGGCTGAATGCCACCTCTGCCTGTGGTTTTCATATCTCAAAACCAGTGGTAGTCTACTGCAGGTTGTCCTCGACTTATAACAGTTCATTTAGGGACTGTAAAATGGGGTTTATTTAAAAAGTTTCTCGCTTAGCAACAGAAACATCGGGCTCAATTGCAGTTGTAAGTCGAGGACTCCCTGGGATCAAAAAGAAAAATGCGTCTTTCAGCAGAGGCAAGGCAGTGAAAGTAAGGCACCTTCATTTCTTGGAGTTCCACCTTCTTCTCGCCGACTTCTTTTATGAGCTGAGACTTCTCTGTCTCCATGGAGCCAGCTGTCCGGCCATGTTGGCTTACGATCTCGGTCATGCTCTCGATTTGCTTCTGGAGGATCTCAATCACCTTCTCCTTCTCCACCAGCTGCACCTTCAGGGACTCGCAGTCGGACTGCACGTTCCGCAAGAGATCGCTTTCACTTTTCAGTTGCTGGAACTCCTCCCGTTTGCTATCCACCCGTCCGCGCAGCTTCTCGATCTCATCGTTGGTGCGTTCGATGACTCTTTCCTTCTCCAGGTGGGAGGATCTCAGTTCAGCGATGACCCTCTCTGCAGAATCCAGGCTTAATTTCCTTTCGTTCAGATCTTGGACAGTTTTATGGAGCTTATCTTTGGTTGAATTTAACTGGGCCAAGATAGCAGATTCCCTCTCTAGGCTGTCGTTCCTCTCTTTAATTGCAGACATCTGGAAAAGGAAAGAGACACTGTTTTCCCCAATGCTTTCACTGCAGCGAAGGAGATTATTCCCAAATGGAACAGAACTAGGAAGAGGAGCGGCTTAAGGGAAACCTGGTTTCTGGCCTACAAGACTTGGGAGACACAAACCACCACTCTACTCCTCACAAAGGCCTTCTCCATGGTGGCTCCCTCTCTCTGGAACATCATTCCCCCAGAGATTAGAATGGCCCCCACTCTAACACTCTTCCGGAAGGTACTGAAGACCTGGTTCTGCCAGCGGGCCTGGGGAACCCAGAATAAGATGGAGCCCATTAAATGGCTCATATGATCTGCTGTTGCTGGGGTGGGAGATGGGGAGGGGGAGATTTTATTATATTAATTTATTTGATTCTTCTTACTCGTTTTACTGTTTTAAATGTGGTTTTATACCTTGTAGGCCGCCTTGAGTTGCCATGGGCAAATGGGCGGCAATATAAATCCGATCAATCAATCAATACTAAAAAAAAAATCGTAATAAGTAGACCAGGCTCAGAGATTGTCTCTGGACCACATGACCGAGGGAGCCTCATTTCCTTAATCCTACCACCACTGGCTAATAATTTAGAAGAGAATAGAGCAAAGGTCTTCAAACTGGGCAAGTTTAAGACTTGTGGACTTCAATTCCCAGAATTCCTGACCTAACATGACTGGAGGAGGAATTCTGGGAGTTGAAGTCCACAAGTCTTAAAGCTGTCAAGTCTGAAGACCCCTGGAACAGAATAACAGAATTGGAAGGGGCCTTGGAGGTGATCTAGCCCAACCCCCTGCTTAGACAGGGAACCCTACACCACTTCAGACAAATGGTTATCCAATCTCTTCTTAAAAACTTCCAGTGTTGGAGCATTCACAACTTCTGGAGGCAAGTAGTTCCACTGATCAATTATTCTAACTGTCAGGAAATTCCTCCTTAGTTCTAAGTTGCTTCTCTCCTTGATTAGTTTCCACCCATTGCTTCTTGTCCTACCCTCAGGTGCTTGGGAGAATAGCTTGACTCTCTCTACTTTGTGGCAGCCCCTCAGATATTGGAACATTGCTATCATGTCTCCCCTAGTTCTTCTTTTCACCAAAACTTCTCTATTCTAGATGAGGTTCTGCAGTAAACCTTTTTGGGGGCGGGTGTGTGTGAAACCAGCTGAAATTTGCAATCCTCCTTCAACTGGGGAACATATCAGAGTCCTGCCATAATTCTTTCTCTCCACCTATGTACATAATCAGCATTTTAATAATAACCGGGAGACTGGTAGCGTCTCTCCTAACTCACAAAAACTCACTGATGTGGCAGCTAGTAAAAGGGTTGGAGCATTCTCCTATCATGCCAGCACAGGTAGTCCTCAACTTACAACAGTTCACTTAGTGATTGCTCGAAGCTGATCGTTTGCATTCTTTTGCACCTCAGTGGTGCAAACAGGGGTGGAGCCATCTTGGAACTGTTGAAAGGACTATGTTGTAGATTGGGGAAGGCCATCTATGTCAAAACTGAACAGGCCTCCCTCAACAAAGCGGGAGGGATACAACATCACCAATCTCTAGTCTACAAAAAACATCCTTTCAACAGTTCCAAGGAGACTCCACACCCATTTGCACCACTCAGGTGACCCTGAGAACATGGATAAACCTCCAAGTGGCCTCAAGGACCCTTTAAAGGGAAGCAAATGACCAGCTGTCTGCAAGGAGTATCAATCCTTCCATTCCCCACCATCCAGTCAGAGCTGAAGAAGCTTCTTGGATGAGAAGTGAAACGTCTTCCAAGAAAAACCAGAAAGTCCAATTGTCCCTTGGAAAAAAACACCTTTGGGACAACCACGACCTGGATGGCTGAGAATCTCCATAGATATGAGGCAGTGGCCTTCAATCTTCTGGGTACCAGGGACCAGTTCCGTGGAGAGAAGTTTTCCCATGAACCGAAGTGGGTGCGGTTTTGTGGGATACCGATGGAGTTTTGCTTTCTTGTGCGGCCCAGTTTCTGGCATGCCATGGCCCGGTACTGGTTCACAGACCGCGGATTGGGGACCCCTGCCATGAGAGCATCGTAATCTTCCACTGTCCTTTCTTCTAATATTCTTAAACACAGAGCATGCAAAATAATAGCAAGAGCACTTAGACTTATATACCGCTTCCCAGTGTTTTACAGCCCTCTCTAAGAGGTTTCCAGAGTCAGCCTATTGCCGCCAATAATCTGACTCCTCATTTTACCCACCTCGGAAGGATGGAAGGCTGAGTGAACCTTGAGCCAGTCAGGATTGAACTGCTGGCAGTGAACAGTGAGCTGGCCTGCAATACTGCACATTCTAACTACTGCACCACCACGGCTCATACAAGTAGTCCTCAACTTATGATCACAATGGAGCCTGCCCATTATGGTCATAAGTCACAACCATCATAAAGTGCGTCAGCCATATAACCAATTCCATTTTATGGCCGTTTTTGCCACGGTTGTTAAGAGAATCACCAGGATTGCTAAGCATATCTCCAGCCGTTAAGCAAACCCATTACTCGTTATGCCGAAAAACTACCCCTATCAGTAGTATCCTTCTCATCTTCTCTACTACCCCCATTGGTGCAAAACTCACTTCACAAATGTCTTACTTAAGAACATAAATTGCGGTCATACGTCGACTACCTGTATTACTAGTATCCTTCTCAATTTGTCTACCACCTCCCTGTTATTGGTATCATAGTGTAATTATTAATACTTGGTTGCTTTGCATTGTATATCCTGAGAATTTCTGCACCGGAGACCAAGTTTCTTGGGTGTCTAATCATGCTTGGCCAAATAAAGTATTCTAGGAGTTTGGGAAATGCTCAGGATCTGGGTTTTCCTCAGGTCTGGTGGGGCCTTCTTCATTTTCTAACCTGACGCTGAATTTGTCCTTCACACTCCATCTGCAAGGACCTGACGACGGAGTCCAAGCGCTGCAACTCCATGTTTTTGTTGTCCAGCTCTCTCCGCAGATTGTCTATGGTGATGCTGCTCCCCGTGTCTCGATCCCAGAGCCTCTTATTCTGCTCCTTTTCCAGATTCAGCTCCACGTCTTTCTTGTGGAGCTCAGCCTACAAGGCAAGGCAACCCATTAAGCAAGGCTTCATCGTTTCTGAATGTGGGGGAAAAATATAAAACCCCTTTAAATAAAGCCTGAAAGGTGTACAGGTAGGCCTCTGTAAGGTACAGGTAACCTTTCTGTTGCTAAATGAGACATTTGTTAAGTAAGTTTTGTCCCATTGTGCGTTGTTTCTCACCACTGTTGTTAAGTGGATCTGCCGTTGTTAAATTAGGCACACGGTTGCTGAGTCAATCTGCCATTGTAAAGTCCCAAAGGTGCTTTCCTTTTTTAAGAGGCAACTGGACTTTCTAGTTTTTCTTTGAAGAGGTTTCGCTTCTCATCTCAAAAGCTTCTTCAGCTTCTTGGATAAGAGAAGAAAGAGCCGAAGAAGCTTCTTGGATGAGAAGCGAAACTTCTTCAAAGAAAAACCAGGAAATCCAGTGGCCTCTTGAAAAAAGCACCTTTGGGACAACCATGACCAGGATAACGAGAATCTCCACAGACTTCTGCCATTGTTAAATGAGTCACATGGTTATTAAGTGAATCCGGCTTCCCCATTTTTCTTGTCAGAAGGTCGCAAAAAGCTGATCTCATGACCCCAAGACATTGCAACCGTCATAAATATGAATCCCTTGCCAAACGTCTGAATTTTGATCACATGACCATGGGGACTCTGATATGGTTGTAATGGTGAAAAACGGTCATAAGCCACTTTTTTCAGCGTCGTCATAACTGTCGTAAATGGAGGATAACCCTGTAATCCAGGAGCAGTCTATCCTAAGCAAATGAAACATTTTCACACTCAAGTTATGCATGGCCAATGAAATAAAGCTCAAAGGAAAAATTAGTATGCTTTACAATCTGCTAAGCAGACATATCTGAGGATCTTCCTAGTCTGGGAGGCAAAAAATGTTCAGCTGGTCACTCCAGAAACGTGGTGGTTTCTTGGGACTAGATCCAGAATGTCTTTTTTTCTCCTGAGAGTCCTCTTATCTCCAAAATGATGGTTCTGAAGCTACAAGCTCAGTGTGAGATTGAACTGAACTGCATTGCTTGAATTTTTATGCCTCTTTCCGTAGTGAAAATAACAATAAGCAATGGTTAGCAGCAGCAAAAAAGTGAGAATAGACGTTTTCAGCAGAAAACATGCAAGAGATGTAAAGATAACAGGTTCCTTTCTCTCTTGCTACTCATCTCTTTTACCATCTTCCTTTTCATGCCCCAAACCAGGCTTCTGCTTCAGACTGCTAGCTGACCTTTCTTTCTTTCTTTCTTTCTTTTTCTCTTTTGTCTTTCTCTTCCTTCTTTCCTTTTCTTTCTTTCTTCCTTCCTTCCTTCCTTCCTTCCTTTCTTTCTCTTCCTTTTTTCTTTCTTTCTTTCTTTTCCTTCCTTCCTTTTTATCTATCTATCTATCTATCTATCTATCTATCTATCTATCTATCTATCTATCTATCTATCTATCTATCCATCCATCCACCCATCCATCTATCATCTATTATCTATCTATTTTCCTTTCACATGAGTATCCAAACAATGGATTGAATAGAGCTAAGTCCTTGTCCCAAAATCACTTTATAAACTTGAAATATTCTTAATATTTTTCTCATTGGACCTAATGGCGTTTTTTTAACCCTTTACTGTGGTAGAAGAAATGTTCCCTATATGCATGAAAATGATATACAGTATATACACTGGTATACACACACACACACTATATATATATATATATATATATATATATATACATATGTATGCATGGATGGATGGATGGATGGATGGATGGATGGATGGATAGATGGATGGATGTGTATCTGTATCTGTATGTGTATATGTATCTGTATCTATATATCTGTATCTGTATCTGTATCTGTATCTGTATCTGTATCTCTATCTCTATCTCTATCTCTATCTCTATCTATCTATCTATCTATCTATCTATCTATCTATCTATCTATCTACCTGGTATTCAGCTCTGTTCGGGTATTTTCCCATGTTATTATAGTTGTGCTTTTCAAGTTGTAGCAACGTTTCAGCAGAATCTCATCTGCCATCATCAGGCTTCTGTGAAACGTTGCTACAACTTTAGAAGCACAACTATAATGACGTGGGAAAATACCCGAACAAAGCCGAATACTATATATATATATATATATGTGTGTGTGTGTGTGTGTGTGTGTGTGTGTGTGAGTGTGTGTGTGTTTGTGTGTGTGTGTGTGTGTGTGTGTGTGTTTTCTCAGGTTTTTGCGGGTACTTACATGTATGCTGAATGCCATATATATATATATATATATATATATATGCATATATATATATATGCATACATATATAGATATTACACACGCACACATATACATACACATATAAAACATTGAACAATTAACACAAATAAGATTTATTTAACAACAGCCTCTATAGAGATAAGTAAAGTACTTAATTAGCTACATTGTACCAAGAGGTGCATGTAGATAAAGTTGCCTTTAGTGAGATGGGCATCATGCAAGTTTGATAAATAAATAAAAAATAAAATAAAAGTATAATCAAGAATATGTACTCCACGCACATATGCCAGGGAAGAAAGCAGTGGTGAAATGCTACCGGTTCGGCCCGGTTTGCCTGAGCCGATAGCAAAAATGGCTGCCAGTTAGACCAAAGCAGTAGTAAAAAAAAGCTCCGATGATCAGCTGAAAGAAAAGAAAAGTGAAGCATCGGTCCTCCTACTCAACCCTGCACTTTTCTGTTCTTTATTGTCTCAGCTGACTGGCGTGGCAGAGCCTCAGCTGGTGTTTGGAAAGCTGCAGGCGCGCGCAGTGTGTGATCACTGAACTGGTAGGGAAACTAATAGAATCCCACCACTGAAGGAAAGGCAGAAGGAAGCAACTCTAGACTCATAATCTCTTAAGCAACAAGCAGTGTGACAAAAGGGGGAGTGGGAGTAAATTTGCAACTCTTTACCTACACCCCACGGACACTTGATTGGTCGGTTGCGAAGGGCTCCAGAGTCAGTGCCTCTGAAGTGGAAAGTATGATTGTGTGACATTATCATGAAGATGCGTTTGGTCCTCTACTGTAAGATCTAATGACCTGAGCTCCTCGTAAAGTCATGGAATTTGACCGACTTAGCTCAATTATGAACCCCGAGATTTACAAAAGCCTTTTTTTTTAAAAAAATTGAGGCTGTGAGCTGTGTCAGATTCCTACCAACAATTGCTGAACCTCATCATCTAAGTTTCCAGATTCTTGGCTGTATTGATCCCTTTCAATCTGAGCGTCAGTCATCTCAGAGTGAACCAGGTGCAGCTGCTTCTCCAGATCTTCTATCTAAAGCATTAACACAAAAACACACTCAGAAATGACCCTCAGAGGGGGCACAGAATGCAGGTTCCTAAGAATCTCAGAGTTTTTATTTTTTTTACTTCACTTTGTAGCTTGGCTCAAGAAAGTGGGAATGCTTAGCTGGCTTTTGTTGAGCTGAAAAAGCTAAACCTGGCCAGATCTAGTTAAGAGCTGGCTAAGAGACCACCAGGAAAAATATCTTAGAAGGCAGCAAAGGAGAATTAAAAGGTAAAGGTTCCCCTCTCACATACGTGCTAGTCGTTTCCAGCTCTAGGGGGTGGTGCTTATCTCCGTTACAAAGCTGAAGGGGCAGCGCTGTCCGAAGACGTCTCCGTGGTCATGTGGCCAGCATGACTAAACACCGAAGGCGCATGGAATGCTGTTACCTTCCCACCAAAGTGGTCCCTATTTTTCTACTTGTACTTTTTACATGCTTTCAAACTGCTAGGTTGGCAGAAGCTGGGACAAGTCATGGGAGCTCACTCCGTGATGCGGCGCTAGGGATTTGAACCACCGAATTGCCGACCTTTCTGATTGACCGAGCCACCGAGCCACCACATCCATGATTGTCCACATCCATGAAGACATCACAAATCAAGTACCAACTTGGGAGTCTTTTTAACCTTCAACCTATAATTTTCACAATGTGTGGAATGCACCGACCAAAATGTTGGAATTCTGGAGTTTAACTTCATTCACCATCTTTAACAACATTTAATCCTTCCCGCTACGCTGGTAAAAGTAGACGAACGACCACAGTGAAGCCCAAAATTTGGGTTGCTAAGTGAGGCAGTCACTAAGAGAATTTTGCCCCATGTTATGACCTTTCTTGCCACCCTGGTGAAGTGAATCACTGCAGCTGTTGAAGTTAGTGACGTGGTTGTTAAGTGAATCCGGCTTCCCCATTGACTTTGCTTGTCAGAAGGTCGTAAAAGGGGAATCACGTGACTCTGGGACACTGGAACCGTCATAAGTGTGAGCCAGTTGCCAAGCGTCCAAATTTTGATCACGTGACCCTGGGGATGCTGCACATGTGAAAAAGCATCATAAGTCACTTTTTTCAGTGCCATTGTAAATGGAGAACTACCTGGACTAGAAGTGTGACAGCTTTGATTTTTTCAAGTTTCATTCAGGAGGCGGTAAATAATTCAATAATGCACCTCAGTACTCATCATCCTCTTTTAACGACCCCATAATCCCTTGTGGGGTGGAGTCTGGGCAACTGAATGGAGCTGAGTGTTGACTGGCCGGATGCCCTTCCTGTCGCCAGAGGTGGTATTCAGCAGGTTCTAATCAATTCTGGAGAATTGGTAGTGGAAATTTTGAATAGTTCGGAGAACCAGCAAATACCACCTCTGACTGGAGATTTTACAGTATCCTTCCCCGACCACACCCAACAAGCCACGCCCACAGAACCGGTAGTAAAAAAAAAAAATGAATCCCACCACTGCCTGTCACCAATGTGGAATTATATTCAGTAGTTACATTCTCATTGTGCCCAGAGAGAGAAAAATCTGCCTCTATCTACGATCGAACTCACAGCCTTCTGATTGTGAGTTGAGAGCTCCACCTCTAGGCCACCGCACCACTCAAATACACCTCTGTACTGCGGCCAAAAATTCTAGGTATCCACAACTAACATCAACCATACTACGTGTTGTCGTGCCCCTGGTGGAGACTGACTCTGAGGGAGGGGAGGAACAGCCCACAGAGAGTGGAAGTGTGGCTCCGGAGGTTGTGGAGGAGGCTGGGGAAGGGCAGAGGCCGGCTGGGCAGTCAGAGGAAGACCCAGGCCCATCCCCTCTCCATCCTAGGGCATGTAGGGAGGAAAGGATAAGAGAGAAACGTGAATGGTGTGGTCTATGGGGGAGGAAAGGGCCTTGATCCTCTTCATGGGCTGCAGTTGTGACAACTGAATAAGAGTTTGAACCTGCGTAATGGCAAATGCTGGAAACAAAGCATGTAAACATCTCTAGTGCATAGTTCCTCTCTGAGTTTGGCATCCTTCCCAGTGTGCGTTATCTGTGGACATCCTCCAGCCCTTATCTTGCCTGGTTTGTGTTGCTTTTTTCCTTCTTCGTGTAACTGTGTGGGAGTTTTTTTGTCTTCCATCAAAGATATTCGGAGCTTGGAAGCAAAGTGAAGGAATAAAGGGGGCTTCACCTGTTTTCTGTGACTGTGTTTGTTTTGTATCCCACCCTGGGTCATCACAGGTGCTCGTCCATGCACCAACACAAGGGTGTCCACTGAAGATGGTGTGATGGAAGTTGTGTCTGGTCACACACGAAAACCAGGTAGCGCTTCAATCACATTGCCATAGCTGCCATCTTGATTTTTTTTTTCCCCACCACAACCTGCAGATACCTTCATCTCAGTATAAACCAGCTCAGAAATAATGAGCAGATCAAAGGCTAATTAACAGAATTTTAACAGAACAAGGGACCTTGGAGGACTCTATAACCATTTCAGACAAATGGTTGTCCAATTTCTTGTTAAAAACCTCCAAACTACTGTAGTACTTATTAGAAACCTGTCAGACTAGTATTGTTCATGGTCTATCCGGGAATTTTGAGAAAAATACAGAAAGATTTCAATTCCAATAGTACATATAGTTGAAATAAATATGACAACAAATTAAGCCACCATTCTGTGCATGTCGGAAATCTTGGAGAAAGCTTATTGAACTAACCAGGGATTATTTCCGAGTAGGCATAGACCAGTAACTGAAATTTCTTCCGTCCAGTGTATCCGTGTAGTAGGGAAGCAGTAATAATTAACAATAATTATGCGGAATCCGGTGTGACTGAAGTTGGGTGGGCAATGCAGGGATGAGTTTCCCTCATTTTAAAATTCATAGTAGGATGACGTTATCACTATAAAGCCTGCCAGAAATGTCATAAAAGAAATGTGTTTAAGATCCGGGTTCTCTGGAATAGTCTAATCTTTGGGGCACCAGAGACTGGTTCTGTGGAGAGAAGTTTTTCCATGGATCGGAGGGGGTGTGGGTTCACATCAGAGGTGGTATCCAGCAGGTTCTGACCAGTTCTGGAGAACCGGTAGCGGAAATGTTGAGTAGTTCGGAGAACCGGTAGTGAAAATGTTGAGTAGTTTGGAATACCAACTCTGACTGGCCCCACCCCCATCTATTCTCTGCTTCCCAAGTCCCAGCTGATCAACTGGGACTTCTTTAGTTGCCCTGCACAGGAGAACAGAGCTGAAAAGCAGGTTATTGGGGTGGGGAGGGGAGATTTTGCAGTAATCTTCCCCCTGGAGTGGGGAGGGAATGGGGACTTTGCAGGATTCTTCCTCTGCCATGTCCACCAAGCCAAGTCACACCCACCAAGCCACGCCCACAGAACCGGTAGTAAAATATTTGAATCCCACCACTGGTTCACATGCTACCTGGATCCCACGGATGGGGCTTCGCTTGTTTGCACTGGGAGTTGGAACCCCGCTACACTAGAACTCTTCACCTAGCTAGGCCACCAAAATGGTAAGAAATAGTTGGCTGATGTTAAAGTCACAGAGTCTAGACTCAGTCTTTAGATGGCAGGTAGGGAAATAGACAGGGGTGGGCTTCAAACATTTTATCAAGGGGCTCTCTGCCCTAATAACTGGCCAGGTGGGCATGGCTAGGTGGTCATGGGACTGGGGTGTGGCCAACTTGACTTCGCTTCTTTGCCCTAATTACCTAAAAAAAGGTAATATACCAAAAAGTGGTTTATTATTTTGTGCATTTAATTTAATACTTAAATAAAAGACTGGGTGAAGCCAGGCTTAATAGCAGTGACTGTGAGAGGGATCTTAGTGGAGTTTCTGGTGAGTTACGTGATTCTTATTATTTGAGAATTAATCTCCTCGGAGGCTAATGGCTATATTATCTGATTTTTCTCAATCTCTCTGTCTCTCTCTCTCTCTGTGTCTCTCTCTCTCTCTCTCAAGAGCTGAATGGATTGTTTATCTAGCTTGCAACACTTTTACGAGGTGTGAAATGCCCTTGGCTGAACGCCCAGAAAGGAAAAAAGCCTCAAAAAAAGGTTTATTATTCTAGTCTTTCTGAGGTTATTGAGGGCAGCCTACCCCTGGACATAGAGCAGCTGTTAAAAGATTTCAGTTTACGCTACCAAGGAGTGCCTCAGGTGCTCTCTGGGATGAACCCCTCATCTTTCATTTTTAGAAAATATTCAGTCCTGGATGTATCTGTGTCTTGATATGACACATACAAGCTTCTTGAGAGGAAGAATTGCAAATGGTGAAACTCCGCAGGTTTTTGACAGAAGCGAAGCTGGAAATAATTTTACAAGATAGGAAGAGTGGTCCGGAAAGGGGAAAAAAAGGAAAAAAAAAAGAAAGACCAGCTACCAACAAAATGTCCAGTTTGGTTTCCTCAGGAAATTCAGAGCATCCCTGACTCTCATGGGCTTCTGGAAGGCCATTAAGAGTCGTCTTTTCTCCCTGGTGAACTCTGAAACCCCCACAGGTAGATCCCTTGAAATTTCAAATCAATTAGATTCAGAATCGAGCTGGAAGGGACCTTAGAGGTCTTCTAGCCGAACCCCCTGCTCAAGCATTTCAAACAAACGCTAAGCAACGCCTCGTAACTTGAGGGCAACTTGCACTGGTGATTTTTTTTTTTTACAGTGCCTCAGAATACAGACAGTCCTCAGCTTATGACTGAGCCCGGCATTTATGTCGCTAAGCGAGACAGTGGTTAAATGAATTTTGTCCCACTTTACGACCTTTCTAGTCCCAGTGGTTCAGTGAGTCGCTGTGGCCGTTACGTTAGTAAAAAGTTGGTATGGTGAATCCGGCTTCCCCGTTGGCTTTGCTTGCCAGGAGGTCACTAAAGAGGACGCTGCAATGGTCATAAATAGGAGCCCGTTGCCTGGCATCTGAATGTTGATCACGTGACCACAGGATGCTGCAACGGTCCTAAGTGTGAAAAACACACTTTTTTTCAGAGCCGTTGTAACTTTGAACGGTCACTAAATGAACTGTTGTAAGTTGAGGACTACCTGTGGTCAGGAAATGAGCTGTGTTTATAATCATCAGGGTGAATTTCGCCCACATTTCAAAGGTCACGAACCCTCTTACACTCACCTTATCCTGGGACATCCTCATGGCTTCCCGTAGCTCAGAGCGCAGTTGTGAAATCGTGCCTTCCAGCTGACTGATCTGGCGCAAATACAGAGATTTCTGATTTTTGGCTTGTTCTCTGAGAATAAAGAAAGGAAATCAAACCCAAATGGGAATCTAAAATATTCAGGAGCAGACCGCATGGTTATAAAGGTGAGAATGATGCCTGCAATCTAAGCAGACAAGGAGATGTGACAAATCACTGCCAGAAATCCAGTTATTATCCTCTTTTAACGACCCCATAATCCCTTGCAGGGAGGAGTCTAGGCAACTGAATGCAGCTGGCCGAGTGTTTTAATGGCCGGGTGCCCTTCCTGTCCCCAATACGGAGTTTTTGTTCAGCAGATATATTCTTGGTGTGCCCAGAGAGAGAAATATCGGCCTCTACCTAGGATCCTGATTGTGAGGCGAGAGCTCCACCTCCGGGCCACTGCACAGGGGTGGCGTTCAAATTTTTTAACAACCAATTCTGTGGCTGTGGCTATGTGAGCGTGACTAAGTGGGCATGACCATGTGACTGGGTGGGTGGGTTTTCTTTCTTTCTTTCTTTCTTTCTTTCTTTCTTTCTTTCTTTCTTTCTTTCTTTCTTTCTTTC